CAGAAAAGGAGAGTGAAAATGGTTTCACAAAACAAAGAATGGAATCAATGCCACTGATCTGTACATGTAGTAATTACTGGATTGGTGTATGGTTTGCTCCATATATAAATACAGATATAAAAGACTAGCAATAGCCATGTAACATGAACAACAGTAATACCAGGGCAGTATGATTCAGTTCTTTTAACAATCAACAATACAAAATCAAAAGGCAATATTTGCCAAGGATAAATCCCAGAAAGCAAGAAGGGAGGTAAAAGAAGGACAAATGGAAATAAGAACCACAGGGAAGAAGTGAGAAAAGTTCTGATACACTAATGTCGTTGTCGTTGTTGTTGTGTACCCTTGAGACAGAAATGACCCACAGTTGACTCCCTGGAGACAGGTTTTCAGAAGCATTTAATAGGCTGGGAGGAGATTGCCCTTCCTGCTTCTGTGGAGCACCTGGTGAATTCAAACTGTGCATCTCTGGGATTGCTGCACAGCTTCTTACCACTAGGCCATTAGGGCTTCCTTGATACAATGTAAAGATTGTAATTAATGTCATAAAACAAAATGCATATAAAATGGTTGAATGGAAAACCAATATGCTCTATAAAGTTTCATTCAAATCACAAAAAGTTTTTTTAAAAGAATAAATAAATGATAAGTATTTTACAACAAGGGAAATTCAACTGCCCATTAAAGATGAGAATATGAAGGGAGTTCTAGTGGCCTAGTGGCACGAAGCTGCACTACAATCCCAGAAGTAGGCAGTTCAAATCCACCAGATGCTTTGCTGGTGAAGGAGGTACAATCTCTTCCTGTACCAGTCAGATCCGATTTGACAGTATACACACACACACACACACACACACACACACACACACAGATGAGAATATAATCAATCTTATTAATATGAAAGAAATTAAAATCACATGAAATATCATTTCATACTGACAAAATTCAAAAGCAACAAATAATAATGCTACCATAACACGACCAAGAATAACAGGAACTCCCTCACTGGAGAAAGGCTAAAAAAAGCTTGAAACCAACTGCCTAAATAAAATTTGCTCCAGGAATTGCAATAAAATACTTTTTACTTCATCATTTTCACTTGTTCCGCTCTATACAAGGATATATGTGTAAAATAATTGTGGAGAGTGAAGTTTGCCTGTTTTGATTCTACTGTTGTGATATGCTATCAAGAGCTGATTTTGTAAGGGGAGGGGGAAGAATTTTGCCTTTGGTCCAACCAGCTCCCCACACAGCAGCACAGTACCATCCCCTGTAAATCTACTCTACGTCTATGTTTTCAGTCTCAGTATCTCTGAACGAGAGAATCATCCCCAAATGCCTCCTTTTAATGTTTCCTCACATATAATTTATCATTGAATTTGATTACTTTTAACTCAATTGTGGCTCTCAAATTTGGACGCTGAACACAAGGCTGCACCATCCCTTAGCGTCCCTGCACACAGATGCTACCAGTGTGGTCTGCCAGCCATCAGTCTCTCCTCCTTCGCCTCCAAATGCTATGCTATCTCTAGAGCGACCTTCTTAAAAAACAAGTCTGTTCACTTCTTATGTATGTCCTTTTATTAAGATTAGATATTTAAGTGTATTTCCTAGATCACAAAAATAGAGCTTCTCAGTGACTACTCTGTTTTTAAAAACTCCACTTCTTAAGGGACAAAACCTTGAGGTGCTAATTTGACTCACAGTGTGGTCTCAACTTATTTCGACTGTTTCATCTCATGCCACTGCATCTTATTGTGCACTCTGTGTTTGTCACACATAAATCCTCATGAACATCTCAAAGAACAGCTTCTGGACTTTGTTCATATTTTTCCTTAGAATACTCTCCTTACTTCCCTTTTCTGCCTAGTAAAATCCTTCACTACCTTTCAGAACAAGCTTAAATGTTATAATCTAATTTTTTTTCCATTTGAATTAGCACCTTCTTCTTGGGTTGCCCAGCTACTTGTTCATACCCACTGTTGTCAGTAACCCTTGCATAGGAGATACTTAATAAACATTCTGAGGTTAAATGATCTGATGTGAGGATTAGATCATAGGTTAAATACCATAAATGTGCCAGGTATATTCTTATACCACCAAAAGCAAAATGGAATTCACAGTTATTATCTCAATTAATCCTCACAACTATCTTTTTAAAATGTAAGTTGATACCTCCACTCTGTAGAAGATATACCTGAGGCTCAAGAAGATTAAATAACTTTCCCTAAAATTAGTTTAAAATAAGATTTGAACCCAAATCTACTGCTGCTTCCAAGTGATTTTATTTCTTCAACACTGCTCAAATTTATTTCCCCGCTTTACAAGTGCCTACGTTCAGACTTTCTTCTTTCTCAGAAAGCGAAGAGCAGAGTCATAAAAGCACTGACTTTTAAGGCAAATTTCAATCCCAGTTGCTATTTATAGGCTGTCTCATTTCCGACTTATAAATGAGAAATATTACCTATCTTCAATGGTTGGGGTGAACAGTAAAGAAAATACTCAGTGTTCAGCATATGTTAAATACTAATAATAATTCCTCTATTATTATTGTTACCATCTCTTTATTCCCAGTCTCTTTTCCCTACCATTCTTTTTCACTTTCATGAAACATACATTTTTCTAAAATGTAAATAGCTAATTGTAAAGCCACGTCTCTAGCCACTACCTCCCTCCTTTTCATAAGACTAATTTTGAATATGTATAATAATCATGTCTTTTCCTTTTCCAGATTTTCTAGGCGATGTCTGTACCACATACATATATCTACACTGCATTGTGATCACTTTCCCATTAAAATGTGGGTTCCTTAAACATTGAGTACTCACCTCATGCTTTCGGGAGTTCTGGTGACTTAGTAAGAAATTGTGCTGCCAACAAAAAGACACACAATTCTAATCCACCAGCTGCTCCATGGAAGAAAGGAGGGCAATCTCCTCTCATGTAATTTAATGCTTCTGAAAACCCACTGGTGGGTCAGCTATAGCTTGGTTCTGACTCCACAGCACACAACATCTCACACCTAGTACAGTGGCTGAATACACAAACTAAACAAACTTGTTGACAAACTTATAGAGACCCTATAGAAGAGAGATACAGAATTATATTACATAGAATATATTATACATATTATAGGTTATATAGAATTATAACCCCTATAGTGTCTCCTAGGGAGCTCTGGTGATATAGTCCACAGAGGGTTGTGCTGCTAATTCAAAGGCTGCTACTCTGGTGGTTCAAATCTACCAGCCATTCTTCAGGAGAAAGATGGACAATCTCCTCCCATACAACTTACAGCTGTGCAAAACCAATGGAGGATCAACTATGAGTCAGTTCTGATTCAATGCAATGAGAAAAGGATTTCCAAGGCTGTAATTTATATAGGAATAAATTTCTACATCTTTCTCCCACAAAGTAGATTGTGGGTTTAAACTGTCAATCTTTCAGTTAGCAGCTAAGTACTTTAACCACTCCATCACCAAGGTGCCTAAAACTGATACATAAATACATACTGTGTCAAATTTAATCTAACAGACACAGTCTCCTGCACTATATCATCATCCAATTTCCTGTCATAGTACTTCCAATCTCTCCTTTTCCCATGTTCTTTGCATTTCAACCTAATCTAGTATTCTCTACCTTAGGCAAAACAAATAAAGTCTCTTTTAATTTCTCTTATCCCTTAAAGTAAATCTGTACCTTGCTTACTAAACACCTTTTTTTTTCCTTTTTCTTCTTCATGGATACTGTTCTCTTTCACAAACTGAAGTTATGTGGCAACCTGATTCAGCAAGTCTATTAGAATCATTTTGTAACAGCATGCTCATTTCTCTGGGTCACATTTTAGCAAGTGTCATAATATTTCTAACTTTTTCATAATATTGTGTGTGTATGTGTGTGTATACCATCAAATCATATCTGACTGCTACAGGAGGAGACTACCCCTCCTTCTACAGCAGAGCATCTGGTGGATTTGAACCGCATACCTCTGGGATTGCAGTGCAGCTCATAACATTAATTTGACACTGTCAAGTTGGAATTGATTCAAAACTAACACACCACTAGGTTTTTGAGTCTATAAATCACACAGGATGATACTGCTCATCTTTCTCCTGAGGAGTCACTGGTGGATTTGTGCCCACAGAGAAGTGCAGCCTTTGGAATACCAGAACACCTTCCTGAGAATCATGCTACCAGAGCAATCTTAACAGATTACAATACAGTACACAATAAAGAGTTCTGGGGGCTTTGTGGTAAGGAATTGTGCTGCCAATGCAAAGGTGTGCAGTTCAAATCCACCAACTGTTCGATGCTCTGAAAACTCATCAGAGGGTCAGCTATGGGTAAGTTCCAACTTAATGATACATAACATAGTATAAACATAACTCCTATATGCACTGGGAAACACAAACATTCTGTAGCTCACTTCATTGTGATACTTGCTTTATTGCTATGTTCTAGAACCAAGTCAATTGTATCTGTGAGGCATACTTTTACAACCTCATTTTTATTCTTTACTGTCTAATACTTATATATTTTTTTAATTCTTACAGTACAAATGTCGTAATTCTAGTCAAGTCTTAAACATGTCCTTTAATCGAGACCGTTGTTGTTGTTGTTAAGTGCCGTTGAGCTGCAGGAGACTCACAGCGACCCCACGAATGAAAGTCATGGACACCTCCTGTATAGCTTTCGTCCTTTTTCCAGGTTCACAGGGTTTCCCGAGGCAAGCTAGTGTGGAAGTGGATGTCAATCCTGCTTCCAAGTTTGTTTTAATCGGTGAGCTTCACCAAACACTGTTCACCATGGGTAACCATTCCCACATTTGACTCATCATTGTCACAGTGTTCAGCTTCACAGCAACCACGAGTAACTGAGATTAGAAATTTAAAAATATTTTGATAACAAAAATGAAACTTTAAATTCTTTTCAGTCTCAAACACACAAACTCAATTTCATTCAAAGGATTATTTACTTTTTGAATAGTAAAAACGTGTTACCTGAATATGAATTAAGAGAAACAGCCCATCGTACTGTCAGTCCTATTAAGACCACTACAGTCATCAAGTACCATTTTTCCATTGTTCTTCAAATTTAGAGAAGAAAAATCTGGGATCTGTACCAGAATACTTTTAACGTCTAGTCAGTCTTCTTTCCTTGATCAGAAAAATGTTACCACTTCTTCAGAATTTTAGGTTCTTTGAAGAAGTAGCCTGGGGAAAGAAAAAAAAATACCAAGACTTAATTAAGCATAATCTCTGTAACAATGTTTCCATTAAACCAAATAGAAAAACAGAGAAGTTGCAAGAAAATTTAAAGGGGAATGAATTATTTTGCACTGAGGAAATATGCTGTTACAGGACCGCTCTAAAGTGATAAAGAACAAGGCTATTTAAGAACGAAGGCGCACTTGACCCAAGCCATAGTATTTTCACTTGATTTCTACACAGCTGAAAGTTGAACAATGAATAAGGTTTACAGAAGGAGATGTCTTTGAATTACAGTATTGGAGCAGTCCCATGAACTGCCAAAAGGGGGGATGGGCAAGGATGGTGAAACTTCATCTCACATACTTTGGGCATGTTGACAAGAGGGGTCAGTCCCTGAGAAAAAACGTCATGCTGGAAAAGCAGAGGGTCAGAGAAAGAGCGGATGACCTTTAACGAGTGGACTGACAAAGTGACTGCAAAAACGGGTTTGAACGCATGACAGATTGTAAAGATGGCAGGCACAAGATTCACCTCTGTTGTTCAGAGGGTTGTCTGGCCAAGGGCGCCAAACAACATTCCCTAGTTAGGGAGCTCTGGTGATGCATCCCTCGGGAGCTGAAAACCTAACCCAAAGGCCTCCTCTCTCTGGTGTTCTGAATACACTACCAGCTGCTTTGTGGGACAAAGAAGGGCAATTTCTTTCCACTCAATTCACAGCCTCCAAAAACCCACAGAAGGGTCAGCTATGAGCTGGTTTTGACTCAATAGCGGAGTTTTTAAGTTTTACTCCTTAGTTAACCACTTAGAAGAAATAGTCTGAAGGATAGCACTCCTGGTTAGCGACACTGAGTATAGACATCTCCTGCATTTCCAAAGTTTGCTTTCTGACACTTCACTTAGAAGACATTTATTAATACTTGTTTTGGCTAGCCAAAAGATAGCGAAAGAAGAGTTTCCGCTTTCAATAAAATGGTGAAAGTGAAATCAATATTTTGCATTCAGCTGTCAAAAAGGCCATGTGCACGCCCAGCCGCAGGCAGGGCATGACAAACTCCTTCCCGTGGAACAAGCTCTGCATCAAGCTGCAGTACTCTTCAACTACTTCAATCAATGTTGGGCTTATTTTAGATGTTTAAGTGTTATTTGGTAGGACTCGGTGTGTTATTTTGGGGGTCTGGAGATAGTAAAAATTTTTCCCATGCTAACTACTTCACTTTTCACTATTTCTTTTTACAAAAGGCTTCCTAGGAACACTCTACTTTCAAATAGCAGATGAAACCTGAAAGTCCAAAATGGTAAGAATTTACTCTCACAAAACTAAATTTCTAAGAGCAGAAAAGCAATTGATAATTTGATATAATAAACAGATTATTCAACTCAATCCCAGTATCAATACCATACTCATTTTCCAAGGAGATCGAAAGGGTAATTGTTAAATTTATTTGGAGAGGAAAGAGACCTCAAATAAGCAAAACATTTCTGAGAAACAAGACTAAGGTGGGAGGCATAGCACTCTCTGACCTCAAAACCTACTGCACAGTGGTAGTAACCAAAGCAGCATGGTACTGGTACAATGACAGGCACAACAAAGACCAACGGAACAGAATTGAGAACCCAGAAATAGACCCAGCTATCTATTATCAACTGATATTTAACAAGGAAATCAAACCTATCAAATAGGGAAATGACAACTTCTTCAATAAAAGGCGCTGGTAAAACTGAACTGCTACCTGCAGAAAGCTGAAACAGGATCTACATGTCACACCACACATAAAAATCAACTCCAGAAAAAAAAAATCAACTCCAGGTGGATCACAGACTTGGGAGTAAAGCCCAAAACCATAAAGTTCATAAAAGACAAACTGGGATCAAGCTTAGAAGGCTCAGCCTATGGTATAAAGAGACTTCCAAATACAGCCAGAAATGTACAATCTGGAGATGATCAAATTTATAAACGGGACTTTCTAAAGATTAAATCTCTGTGTTCATCAAAAACTTTTCCCAACAGGGTGAAAAAAAAGCCTAATGACTGGGAACAAACATTTGAGAATACCATCTCAGACAAGAGTCTCATAACAAAAGTTTACATAATCTACAGGCCCTCCAAAAGAAAAAGACTGATTAACCCAATTACAAAATGGGCAAAAGACATGGGAAGACTTCCTACAGAAGAACACATTCAGGTGGGAGACACAAGAGAGTTGCAAATCAAAACCACAATGAGATACCATCTCACTCCAGCAGCAGTGGCAAAGTTTAACAGGACAGCAAGTAATAAATGTTGGAAAGGATGTGGTAAGATAGGAACTCTTTTACATTGTTGGTGGGATTGTACAATTTGGTGCTTCCTCAAAAGCTGAACACAGAAATTCCATAAGACCCAGCTATTCCATTGCTTGGAATATACCCCTCAAAAGGAAAAAAAAAAATATAGGAACTGAGGCTCAAACAGGTACACCAATGTTCATAGCAGCATTATTCACCATTGCAAGAACATGGAAACAGCCCAGATGTCCTACCACAAATGAATGGATTGAGAAGTTGTGGTACATTCATACAGTGGAATACTATACAGCATACAGAAGCAATGATTTTGTAAATTACTACCTAACTGGGAGGCTCTGGAGGGCATTATGCTGAGTGAACTAACTCAGTCCCATAAGGACAAATATTGTATTATTGTAAAATGAGTATGAGGATCCAAGTGAGGGATGGAAATAGAGGAGTGAGGATGGATGGGGGGCGGGGGGTGTTAAGCACAGGACTACACAATCCGGTAAATAGGTGGGGTGAAGGAAATAGGAAGGACATTTTGTGAAAACAATGTATTCAAACTTTATAAATAAAATAAAATTTAAAAAAACAGAAAAGCATAATGTATGAGAATGATTGTATGAAACACAATGTGAATGAAAATTAGTGTGAAACAAAATGTATATAAACTTTGTAAGCAAACCAATTAAAAAATAATGTAAAAAAAAAGTATGTAGATTGGGGGATTTTTTGGTATTCTTTTTCCATCGCAGTGAAATGGGCAGTCCACGCATAGCTCATCCACTAGAGAATTTTCAGAAGCTGTAAATTACATGGGAGGACGTCATCGCCTATCTCTCCCTTGTAGCAGCTGGCAAAGTCAGAGATGCCTTGGGTTAGTAGTGCAACTCCCTGTGGACTGTGTCAGCAGAGCACATATAGAGCTGTTGAAAAATGAACTGGGTGAAGGTGGGGTGGGGGGTGAGGTAGGAAATTGAGCACCTTCTGAAAGAAATCAGTTCCTTCTTTAGATCAAGCAAAATACTATGGCGTTGTAGCCCCAAGGAAGTTTTGATGCTAACCTAAAGATGGCAACTCTAGCAGTTTGAATCCCCTACCAGTGGCTTTACAAGAGAAAGATGGGGGGGGGGGGCACAGCCGCGTGGTCGTAGCCATGGCCGCGGAGTGGGAAGCCGGTGAGTCCGGGAACAGTAAGTCCTTCAAGCTTCTAGGAAATTTAGACGTCCAGAACATTCCCTGTGCACGTGACTCAGTACTGTATGGTTCGTTAGGATCTGTTGTGGCTGGCCTTGGACATTTTTTATTAACGAGCAAAATCAGAAGATCATGTGATGTTGGAGTAGGAGGATTTATTTTGGTGACTTTAGGATACTGGTTCCATTGTAGGTATAATTGTGCAAAACTAAGAATACAGGAAAGAATTACCAGAGAAGGTATTAAAAATAAGATTTTATATGAAAGCACCCACCTTGATCCTGAAAGGAAATTTAATTTACTGGCAGTGTGCGCTAAGAATAAAACTGTAAAATCTAAAAAAAAACAAACAAGAGAAAGATGGGAAATGTCCTCCCATGTGATTTACAGTCGCCTCAAAACTGGCTGGACAGTCAGCTATGAGTTGGTTCTGACTTGATACCAATGAGTTTGAGTTAAGAGCAAGCATAGACTGAACTATTCTTTGACAGCAATTTGTTTATGAGCATTAGAATGAATGATTATGGCGTTCTGGTAACACAACAGTTAAGCAATGGGCTACTAAATGAAAAGGTTGGTGGTTTGAACTCATCCACCAGCTCTAGGGAAGAAAGCTCTATTTGTTCTGTTCTTATCAAGATTACTTATCAGAAAAATGATGCAACCACTATGGAAGGCAGTATGGTGCTTCCAGAAAGTTGGAAATAGAGATACCATTTGACCCAGTAATTCCACTACTGAGAATATATCCTAAAGAAACCAGAACTGCCAGCCAGCAGATATATACTCACCCATGTTTACGGCAGCTTTGTCAAAGAGTTGGAAACAACACAAGTGCCCATCAACAAACGAATGGCTAGAGAAGCTGAGGTATATTCACAAAATGAAACACTATGCTGCATTGAAAAACAAGGAACTCATAAAAATAACAAAATGGGGTGATCCTGGAGGACATTATGCTGAGTGAAATATCTCAATCACAAAAGGACAAATATTATCTCAATCACAAAAGGACAAATATTGCATAGTGCCACTGCTGTAAAGTGGGACCGACGTCAGAGTTGGGGGGAAACTAAGAGGGGCTAAATAATGTATATTGCATTGAAACCAAAGAGGGAGAGAACTGTTTAGGAAGAATATATGATTAAGTATTATAGTCATGACAGGAGTCCAGAATGAAAGCTGCATAGTGGAGTGTACTGGGGGGGGGGGGAAATTATTGTATAACAATGATAGTTTTTTGGTTTTTTTATATCTTTTCAAAGAGAAAAACAAACTGGAGGGAGGGGCGGGCATGGAGGAAAATGTGCAACAATATATGAATGGAAATCCAAAGTCTCTGTAAACTTTCATTAAAATAAATTAAAAAAAAAACAACAAAACACCTCAAAGGGGTCATTCTATTCTGTCACATATAGTCACTAAGAACTGACTTGAAGACAATAGACCTAAGGACCAAAGACTGGATGACTAATTTCTAAAGTGTCTTTCAAACCTTACATAGAGAACAAACTGCATCTGAGTTAAAATAAATCCTCATAATGCAAAAGAGGACTAATTTCCTAACACATTCATGTTTTCACCAAGCATTGCCACTTTTGTACAATGAACAGACTTTCCCTTCATCTATAAGTGTTTCATACCAGAAGCTGAAGAATACCAGGCATATCTTTATAGAAACTACACTTCCTACCATCCCCCTCCACAGGATAGGAGTAATTTTTTATTTTTCTTGGTTGTTGGCTTACTGATCCACTTTTCGAAGATCAGGTGTATATAATTTTTATTAGATAATACACTTGGAATAAAATTTAGACATTAGTCTGTGATTTAACTTTTGTTGCCTTTCCAACTTCATCTCCTCCAACCTTTCTTTAGACTTCGTTATCTTCCTAGAACTTATCAAGTTCATTCACCCCTCTGTGACTTCCACTAGTGAGCCCACTGCTTTGAATGTTCTCATTCCATACCTCCAGTCATTCCCTCAGATAGCTCATTCCTATCTAACACCTTTACCTAGTTTCCCTCCTCACTGTGCCCCTGTCCCACGAAGAATGTATTCTCACAAACACAAAAAAAAGTATCTTCATACATGAAACAAGTTCATAACGATAATTTTGAGCCGAAAGTTAAATGATTATTGTTCCTTTTATTCAAGCCTTGTAAATAAGCAAAACTAAATTATGGTGTTAAAGTCAGGGAAGATAGTTTGGGAGGAAGGAGACAGTGATATGGAACAGTGTTTCTTCAAGGAATGTCCGAGAGGCTGTAAATGCTCTTTTTCTTGATGTGAATAGTGGTTAAAAGATGTGTTTGATTTGTGACAAGCTATTGTTACAGTTTGATTAAAACTCAAAATGTCCCCAAATGTGCAGAACTGCTCTGTAGGAGTATCTAATCTTTGAAAAGCAGACCACCAGGCCTTTTTTCTGCGGTGCTCCTTGAGAGGTTTGTTTAGGAATTCAGTACATATGCATTGTCCAGTCACATGGGATTTTTGCACATTTGTTTTCTGTACATGTATTTTAATTGTTTTAATTGTTGTTATGTGCCGTGGAGTTGGACCCAACGCACAGCTGCCCCTCCAGTGAGTGGGTCTTGAGGCTGTGCATCATACGGGAGGCCCACGGAGCTGCCAGCAAATCCAAACCATCTGTCTTTGGGTTGGCAGCACAAGTCCTTACTCGCTAGGCCACAATGTAGCTTATAAAAGATATAAGGGGAAATCAAACAGTTGATATTTCCATTAAAAAGTATAAACAGAAATAACATTTGTTTATTAGAATACCAGCTTCCTATGAAGTGAAATACTCTTGTTTTATTTGGTGTTTTTCTCATAGGGACCTCTGGTGGTGCAAGCGCCAAGAGTTCAATATGCAGCTAAGCAAGAGATCTGTGGTTGGAACTCATCAGCTTTGAGAGTTAAATGATAATCATCTGCTCTTGTAACCAATAAAAACCTCAAACTCACACCCATCCAATCAAATTGACTCATAGCTGACCCTCCAGTGGGTTTTCAGAGGCTGCAAATCACAGAAGAGGAATGTGCCCATCTTTCTCTTATTGTGCAGCTGGTGGATTAGAACTGCCCTCCTCTCCGTTGGCAGCACAACTCCCTAAGAACTGCCCTCCTCTAGGTTGGCAGCATAACTCCCTATCAGCTAGGCGACCTGTAAACAGCACAGCTTTTGAAATCCTCTTCTCTGTAGGAAACTCTGGTGGCTTAGTACTAATGAATTGAGCTGTCAAAACAAAGGTACACAGTTCGAATCCACAAGCTGCCTCAAAGATGATGGGCAATCTCCGCCCATGCAATTTAGTGCCTCTGAGAAGCCGCTGGAGGGTCAGCTTTGGGTTGGTTCCGACTCAACGGTACACAAAACCACAACTCTAGTCTGTTAATTAGAATGGACTCTACTGTAGCAAGCAGTATGGATTTCTGGTTTACACCCTCTTCATTCAGAAGAGCAGGCAGAAATCAAGTATTTGTTGAATGGAGAGTTTCATCTGTATAAGACGGAGAGATATCCAACTTATCTGCGTCCTATGTGGTTAAAAATACGAGATACTTTAAATCTATCTCTTCTTGAACAGTTAAAAAGGGTTGGCTATTTTTACCTCCACCATCTGTAAAATACCCTAACTCTAACTTAGCCACTTGCCACAAGTTGGATGGACAGCAAAGAAGTGTCATTCCTAAAGCCAACAGGAACCTTCCATGCCATCAGCAGCAAAGAGGAGAAATGCCCCAAAGGGTAGGCAATTCAATGTAACCTCTGCTGAAGCCACAGCTTTCTCCCACCGAGGCGCTGGTGGCGTAGAACCCACCTGTGACTGATGATCAAGTTTCGTTAGCAGCTGCCCAGCGCCTAATCACTGTGCTCCAAGGGCTACTACGTTCTTCCTGCTTTAACCTCAAGCTGCATCTCTGCAAAGAGAAAACCCACCGTCCACTTTCTGTAGCCTAATTTGTTCTTTTCGATCTGGAAGTACTACCCCACAATGGACACGAAACTGGTAAAGTGTAGCACATCTGGCAAAAGGGACTCCTAGACTTTATCCTTCCTTGTTCCAAAGGACCACAGAAGGGACCAAGGACGCTCCAACCAGATCCCACCACTATCTCACGTCCTTCTATGCGACACCACCACCCACCCACCCCCTCTCCCAAGCGACCCTAGCCGGCTGGGCTGAGGCCTCGCGACCTGAGCCCGTGAGTAAAGCGGAGCAAGGAGCCTCCAGCGGGCTCGGGAAAAGGCGACGAGGAGACTCTAGACGTCGTGAGCCCTGGTCTCGCCACATGCAGCGTCAGACCGACTCCGAGCGTCCGAACCCCGGATATCCCGGCCTCTTACCCCGCCGCCCTCTGGTCACCAGGATTCGCGCCCGCTGCTGGTTCCAAGAAGGCGCCTGCGCGCTCGTCCCCGCGACCGAGCCCCTCCGGCCTTCCGCCCCCGCGTGCTCGCCTACTCGCGCGCCCGGCGCGGGAACGAGCCCGCAGAGCGTCTGGGGCGGAGCTGGAACAGGGCGTGGAAAGGAAGCTGCCAGTTTAGGAGGCGGTACGCAAAAGGCTGGAATCCGAGAGGCTTCCAGTGCAGGGTTAGGCTAGGGGCAGGTGGAAAGCCCCTTACTCTTCTTTCCTGGGAGCCTAGCCAAGGCTGGAGCGCCTGCTTAGTCCACAGATTCCTATCAGGGGCGGGCCCTGGATCACTTCTTGGTAGTGGAGAGCCCTTGGCTAGTTGTCACCACCAACCTCTTCCTCTGGTCTTTTTCCCCTCTTAGGAGCCAGTAAGTCAACTACTTACTTTCTTCCACCTAGTGCTGTCATGTACCATCGACTCAGAACCAACTCATAGCTGACCCTCTAGCGACTTTTCTGAGGGACTAAATCCCATGGGAGGTCAGGAGCCCTTATTCGTTGTCTACCTCTCAGTTGCATAGCAAATGATTGAAAAGATCATAGCCTGAATCAGACACACCTTAGTCTTTAAACTGAAAGCATTGCTGTCAGTGATTTGGAGAGGTCCCTGACAGCAGACTTTCCCAATACAATAAGGATGACAGAAGAATTATTGATGCATTTGAGAAGTAGTGTTGGAGAAAAGCACTGAATATTGCATGGACTGCCAAAAGAACAAACAGCTATGTCTTTGGAAAAGTGCAGCCAGAGTGCTGCTTGGTAGGAAGGGTGGTGAAGCTTCATCTCATATATTTTGGCATATTGTTAGGAGAGGTTATTCCTCGGGGAAAGACTCCATTGTTGGAAAGGTCAACAAAAGAGAAAAAGACATTAGACTAGATGGTTTGACACACTGACAGCAGCAATGGACTCAAGTGTGTCAGAGACAATAAGAATGGCACAGGACAAGACAAGGTTCAGACCTTGTTCACAGAGTGGCTATGAATCTGACTCAAACAATACCGCACCTAACAACAACAAAGACAAATCGCACTTGGCACATTTCCTTACCACTAGGCCACCAGAGCTCCATTTGAGGTACTAGTTTGCATAAAAGAGTATATTGGAAGATGATTACATGGAAAAAAATTTAATTACAAGAGCAATCACACATTATGGAGCTTTCAACTATTTTTGAGAGATACAAAATGTGAGATGCTTGCCTTTAGTTTATTTGGAGAGGAAAGCAACCTCAAATAAGCAAAGCGCTTCTGAAAAACAAGAACAAAGTAGGAAGCATAGCACTCTCTGATCTCAAAACCTACTTGTTGTTATGTGCTGTCAAGTCGCTTGTGACTCATAGCGACCCTGTTTAAAACAGCCCTAAACTATGCTCTGTCCTGTGCCAATCGCACTGTCTCTGACACTCCCATCCCAATTACCCCAGTCACTGAATCAATCCACCTCATAGAGGGCCTTCCCCTCCTGCACTGTCCCTCCACCCTCCCAAGCATGATGTCCTTCTCCAAGGACCGGTCTCTCCTTACAACATGTCCAAAGTATGTTAGACAGAGCCTCAGAATCCTTGCCTCCAAGGACCCACCCAATTTAACCCTTTCCAGGACGAGTCTGTTTATTTTCCTAGCAGTTCATGGTATTCTCAATACTCTTCTCTAGCACCACAGCTCAAAGGCATCAATTCTCCTTCTGTCCCTCCTTGGTCATTGTCCAACTCTCTGATGTATAACAAGTGATTGCGAAGACCATGGCCTGTATCAGAGGCACCTTAGTCTCCAGAGAGACACCATTGCTCTTCAGTACGTTGGAGAGGTCCCTAACAGCAGACTTTCACAAAACCTACTACACAACTGTAATAAACAAAACAGAATGGTACTGATATAATGACAGGCACATAGACCAATTGAACAAAATAAGGAACTCAAAAATTAATCCATTTGTCTATGATCAACTGATATTTAACGAGGAAACCAAACCTATCAAATAGGGAAATGACAAGCTCTTCAACAAATGGTGCAGGCAAAACTGAAGTGCCACCTGCAGAAAGCTAAAGCAGAATCCACACCTCTCATACACAAAAGGACAAATACTGTATAGTACCACTGTTGTGTCAAGAAATCTGGAGAACAACCACTTGGCCAACTGAATGGAAGAGATCTATATTTGTTTCCATTCCAAAGAAAGGTGACCCAATAGAATGCGGAAACTCTAGAACAATATCATTGATTTCACATGCAAGCAAGATTCTGCTGAAGATTATCCAAAAACGACTGGAACAGCACATCAGCAGAGAACTGCCAGAAGTCCAGGCTGGGTTTAGAAGGGGTCCTGGTAGTAGGGATATTGTAGCTAATGTTAGATGGATCTTGGCTGAAAGCAGAGAGTACTGGAGGAATGTCTATCTGTGGTTCACTGATTATGCAAAGGTGTTTGACTCTGTGGATCATAACAAACTGTGGCTGACTCTGAGAAGAATGGGAATCCCAGAACACTCGATCATGCTAATGCAAAACCTATACTTGGACCAAGAGGCAGTCATCAGAACAGAGCAAGGAAACACTGCATGGTTCAAAATTGGGAAGGGCGTACACCAGGGATGCGTCTTATCTCCATACCTTTTCAACCTATATGCAGAACAGATTATCCGGGAGGCTGGGCTCTATGTGGAGAAATGCGGCATCAGGATTGGTGGAAGATCTATCAACAATCTGTGTTTATGCAGATGACACAACCCTGCCTGCTGAAACTGAGGGGGACCTGAAGCGCTTGCTGCAAAGGGTCAAGGACTGCAATTTTCAATATGGATTGAGGCTTAATGTCAAGAAGACAAAGATTCTCACCACTGGACCAATTGGCAGCATCAGGATGGATGATGAAGAGATTGAGATTGTTCACAGCTTTAATCTGTTTGGCTCCACAATCAACAATCTTGGCACCAGTAGCCAGGAAATTAAAAGATGTATTACCATGGGAAAGTCTGCTATTAGGGACCTCTCTAAAGTACTGAAGAGCAATGGTCTCTCTGGAGACTAAAGTGCGTCTGATACAGGCCATCGTCTTTGCAATCACTTTATGCATCAGAGAGTTGGACAATAATTAGGGATGATAGAAGGAGAATTGATGCCTTTGAGCTTAGTGATAGAGAAGAGTATTGAGGGTACCATGGAGTGCTAAGAAAACAAACAGATTCATCTTTGAGAGGGTTAAGCCGGGCTGTTCCTTGGAGGCAAATATTCTGAGGCTTCGTCTGATGTATTTTGGTCACGTTGTAAGGAGAGACCGGTCCTTGGAGAAGGACATCATGCTTGGGAGGGTGGAGGGCAGGCACAGGAGGGGAAGGCCCTTGAGGAGGTGGATAGATTCAGTGACTGGGGTAATCAGAATATGTGTGTCGGAGACAGTGAGATTGGCACAGGACAGAGCAGAGTTTAGGGATGTTTTATGTAGTAGGGTCACTATGAGTTACAAGCGACTCAACAGCACATAACAACAACAACAACAACAACTGTTGTATAATGGGACTGACATCAGGGTTGGGATGAGACTGAGAAAAATTGGATAAATTATGTATACTGCATTGAAACAAATGAGGGAGAGAACAGTTTAAAAGCTATATATGATTGGGTATTATGGTAGTGACAAGAGTCCAGAATGAAGGTTGCATAGTGGAATGTAAGGGGTGGGGGTGGGTGTGGGTGGTTGTATACCAATGAAGGAATTTTTCTTTTACTTTTCAAAGAGAAGAGTGAACTAGGGGGAGGGGTGGGCAGGGAGAAAAATGCAAGAATGAATGAATGAGTGGAAATCCAAAATATCTGTAAATGTTAATTAAAATTAATAAAGTAAAATCTAAAAAAAAAATATCAACTCAAGGCAGATTAAAGACCTGGCAGTAAAGCCCCAAACCATAAAGATCATAAGAGACAAAGTGGCTTAGAAGTAGCTTATAAGGCCTAGCCCATGCTATAAAAAGGCTAACAAATACAGCCAGAAATAAACAACCTAAGGAGAACAAAACTGATGAATGGGATCTAATGATTAAATCCCTGTGCACATCAAAATCTTTTTTCCAACATGGTGAAAAGAAAACCTACTGACTGGGGAAAAAAAATATTTGGCACTACTATCTCAGACAAGGGTCTTATAATAAAAGTTTACTGAATCCTACAAGGAAAAAACTGATAACAGATCACAAACTGGGCAAAAGATATGGAAAGACTTTTCACAGAGGAACACATTCAGAAGGTCAACAGACATACAAAGAAATACCCAAAATCAGTGACAATAAGAGAGATGTAAATCAAAACCACAGTGAGATACCATCTCACCTCAGTAATAGTGACAAAGTTTAATAGGACAGCAAGCAATATGTGTTGGACAGGATGTGAGAAAATAGTAACTCTCATACACTGTTGGTGGGATTGTAAAATGGTACAACTACCCTGGAAGGAAGTTTGGTATTTCCTCAAAAAGCTGAACATAGAAATTCCATATGACTCAGCTTGGAATATATCCTGAAAAAATTAGAACTGAGACACAAACGGAGATTTGTACACCAATGTTCATAGTAGTGCTATTTATCATCACAAGAACATGGAAATAGTACAAATGTCCAAATTCAATGGAATGGATTGAGAAATTGTGGTACATTCACATGATGTAATACTATGAAGCATTCAAGAGCAATGATTTTGAAAATTAGTACATAACTTGGGAGAGACTGGAGAGCATTTTGCTGAGTGAACTAACTCAGTCTCATAAGGACAAATACTGTATAAGACCATTATTGTAGAAATAGAAGGATAACTAGTAAAATGTGTCTGAGGATACAAAGGGCAGAGGGTAGGAGCAGAGGGGTGAGGATAAGCAGGGAGGAAATCATAGGGTCACACAATTTAATGGGATGAGGGAAGAGTGGGTAATGGAAATGGGAAAGATCAAGCGAGGATCTGGAAAGACAGGGTAATGTTGGGCATAGCTCAATGTTGATTTATAAAATATAATTAACGGGAATGATTTTATGAGATATAATGTGAATGAAGAAAAGTGTGAAACACAAAGTATATGAACTTTGTAAGCAAACCAATATAAAATAAAAATTTATTTTTTAAAAATGTGAAAGACGCTTGCATTTGGCAGCACTCTACAAAGCTTGGATCCCCCGTTTTTTCACAGAATGTGCTCCTTTCTCC